ACTGCCACCTGCTTTTCCCACCTAATGTTTGTGTCATGGGGGAAATGACTTATATATTATAATCTGTCTGCAGTTTAAGGAGAGAGTCTCCCCCAAACAAGTCTTTGTCTACTCAGTGGGGAGAGAAAAAGAGAGAGAGAGGGAAGGAGGGAGGCACAGGGAATAGGATGAGGACACGGGAGCAGACAGACAAATGGACGAAGCCCTGCAGGGGAAGAACGGAGATGTCACGAGGGAAGTTTGTAAGAAGCAAACCCTTCCTCCATCTCCCACCAAGCCTTGGTGAAGCCTGTACCTCTTACCAGTGCCTCTGCCATTTGCTATGGGAGAGCAACAAGTGCCGAGCCTGGAATCTGGGTGGGGCCGGGTGACAGCAGATGCTGGGGACCTGGTGATTTCGGGGTTGAAACTCCACATGTCATAAATGGTCCACATCCTTCTGGATGGAGGAAGTCGCGAAGGGGTAACTGTTAAAAACACGATAGCCTTGGGTCCCTGGTTCCATTTAACCACACGTGGATGCCTTGGTGTGATGGCTGCTGCAGAATTCACCCCTGGCCCCCAGGTGCTTCCAAGGAGCCCCTGGAGGAAAACAGCCACAGAACTGGAAGGCAAAGGAAGTTTCACAGAGGAGGAGGCTGAGGCTCAGCTGAAGGACAAGCCAAGGTCGCCCAGCTATTCAGGAGCCAAGCAAGGCCATTGCCCCAATCCCCTGGAACTCGCATTCCAGGGTCCTTTCATCTGTGTTGAGGGTGTCTCTTTGACACTAATGGCCACCTGCAGGAGGAACAGAATCCACTTGGGATCCCTGCCCCTCATGGCACATCTCATTCTATGCACCCTGGCTGTGAACACACAGGAACCAAAAGAGAGAAAGGGGCTCCCCGCCAGCGTCAGCTTGTTCATGCCCAACGCGTGCCTCTGTCTAGGCTCTGCTTGCCCCTGTAACAAGAGCATCCTCCATCATGTCTATCTTTTAAAATCCCGGTTTTCTTAATAAAATCAAGAAAACAATGGACCATTTCAAGCTCACATTGGCTTCCCCTTCCTCCCAACTCCCCCAAGCCTGTGGCTGTCCTCTCCTTGGTCCAGCTCTCACTTGTGCTTGGTGTCTCTCCTTCTCTGGGGTTTTATTTGTTTGGCTTAATTGCCCCCGTGAGACCAGCCAGGGAGGCAATTTATGTCTCTCCTGCTCCCCACAGCATTTGCAGGTTCTGCTTAAATTCAATTTAGATGAAGGAGACTTGACAACTTCCAGAAATGGCTGAAGCCTGCTGTGAGCAAGAGTGCGCCCCTAAGACATGGTGTTTATTCCAGCCAGTTGGGATGAGAAGAGAAAGTTTTCCCCGGAGCTAGCATGAGACAGTATCCTGTCTGCTTCATAAATTCAAACCTTTGATTTCTCCTTTGATTCCTTGAAGGCAGAGCACTGATTTTATAGGAGAAAAAATTGATTTGTACAATGTTGTTCTCCTTCCACTTTTTCACTCAGATTGGCCTTTGGGCTGAAATAGACAGGGCTGCAGAGGAGCTGGGCTTAGAGCAGAGATGGTGGGTTTTGGTTTCCCTGAGACATTAAGACTGAGATGGGGCCTAAGAGCAGTGAACGAGCTCACGGCCAGCAGGTGACCTCCCCGCATTTGGCCCCACCCCTCCTTGCCATCCAAGGAGTCACAGTCCAGCAGCATTAATGTATCCACATCCTCTGAATTAATCCCATGAGTGTAACCCGCAGAATCCTGTGGCCTGCCAGTGAGTTATTCTTTGTGCCAACAGAGCTCTGGTCTCCTAAGCTGCTCTCCTTAAGCTCAGTCACTCAGACCAGAGGCCCCAAACACCCAACCCCATGCAGAGTTCCAGGAGCAAACCCAGAGGCAGGACTAGGGCACGTGGAAAGGGCAGGAAAAAAGACTCACTGCCACTCACTCAAAAGCAGTCACTCTGAAAGGCTGATGGGAGACCCGGGTCAAGCCAGGAAGGAGGACACCTAAGGAGACACGGTGCACACGGGAACAAGCTCATAGTGCAACATACAAAAGCAAGGACGCATTAGGGGGGACTGGGTGGGCACCAAAAGGTAGCCACTGAGAAGGCTTCATGGACAGGGGAGTAGAGACCCCCTTCGTGCAGGGTCTGAAGTGGGAGCAGCACGCCAGGGGGCTAGAACATAGGCTCAAACATTCTAACCCTTCCTGGCTATGCAATGGTGGGTGAATCACTTACCTCTCTTGGCCTGTTTCCTCATCTGTAAAATCGGGTAACAGACAGTACCGCTGTCGAGCGCTCCCATGAGCCTCAGCGAGACACCCTGTATAAAGCGCTCCGAGCAGGTGCCTGCACATAGTTAGTGCTCAGTGCATGGTAGCAACCATTATCAACCCCTTACAGTTGTTCTTGGTGCTCCCAACATTTGTTGTCTTGTATCTACCTCACAGCTGCCCTGAGAAGTAGATGAGATGGTTATGCCCATTTTACAGACTTAGTTGCTGAGGCTCAGAGAGTTGAAATGACATCCCAGAGATCCTATGGCTGGAGGGGTGGAACCTGGCTGCACACTGGGATCCGTCAGCCTCCTCACCCAACCCTTCACGTGAGGGCGTTGGGTGGTTCTAAGAACACCAAGGAGCTTCCGAGCTTGGAAAGCAGTTTGCCCAGCGTGGATAGAGTCACACATTGGATTCCTCCCTAAGACGGAGGGGGCAGCAACTGCTCCCATGCCATATAGCACGGGGTCAAGAGTGTGGATTATGGAGCCAGAAGGCTAGGTTCAAATCCAGGCTGGGCCACTTCCCAGAGGTGTGACCTTGAGCTGCTACTTAACCTCCTGGTGGCCTTAGTTGCCCCATCTCTAAAATGGACATACTAATCTTTACACCTACCTCAAAGATCAAATGACTAAAGTGCTTAGAATAACAAGCGACACAGAGTGAGCTCTCTGCAAATATTAGCTGTTATTACCACATTAACAGATGGAGAACCTGTGTGTTGGTTTCTAGTGTTCTTCCCATCCACCCTTAAGAGTGTGGCCCATCTGCGAGGGACCAGATCTGCAGAGCTGGGGACACTGGAGGCTCTTCGATTGCTAAGTCATGTGTCAGCCACCTGCCTAAATGATGAGCCACCTCCGTGTAACTTAATTCATGCATAATTCCTCCTACGATCAGCCGGCTTCCTTTAAAATATTAAATAGATATATATTTTTTTTATTTCCGGAAGATTTGTCACTTTCTAGCACATGATCAAGAATTAAAATCCTCAGAGGTAAAGAGCAATGTAATTATGCCAGAGATTAAATCGGTATTTGAAGGCTAATTTTGACATGTGCCTCAAGCAACATAAGTCAGAAAGAATTAAGCAGGTGGAAAGCGTCAGTGAAGGCACCCTCCAATCCTAGACCCTGATGGGAAGCGCTTTCAAGCCAGTGAAAACACTGTCTGGAAATATAATATGCTTTCTTTTTGTATGCTTAAAGAAAAATCTAATTAAGTCACAGAATTTGCCAGAGAGGACTCTGCTGAAGCCATGGTATGATTTAATAAACAGGGGAATTGCACAAGTGTAGCAAGTGATCACATATAAATAGATTCAGGCTATCAAGACTCCATGTTTCTGGGGTTTACAGAAAATTGATATCAAGCATATGCTACAAATATTGGAACTAGTGCCAAACCAATGCTGCTGAAACAATTTTACAACGTCAGGAGTGCAAATTCTCAGTTTTAAATAATGGCAGGTCCCAGGTCCTTGTTTCCCACTCAAAGATAAGGGCTTAGACAACAAAGACGTAGTCTCATTTTTATTGTTCAAGAATCTTTCCCCCAGCCTAGGAGCAAGTTATGTGGGTGAGGTGTGAGGAGTTTTATCTGGCTGCAAGCTCAGCATGAACTCATTGTGAGAGGTTATTATTAAGAAAACTAGCACATGGTTAGGCAGCATTAATAATAATGAGGAGGAGAAGGAAGAAGAAGAGGAGGAGGAGGATGAATAGAAGTGTAGGCTATGAGTTTAAGGAGATGACTGTTCCATTATCTCACACATTCACATAGGGCTCAGTCTGACCTGGAGCCAGTTCGGAAGAAAGGCGTGGGCAAATATTATATATATGCCAAGAAGACACATCTAGGGGTAAAAGTTGAAGGCACTGAAGCTGTTTAGGTTAAAGAAACAAAAGAATAGCCATTAATAACACTTAGGTGCAGAGAAGGAAAGACCCAGAGAGCCAAGAAAATATGCATAAATTAAGAGTATCTTGAATATGAAGATTCCTAGAAACACATTCTTCTTAATATATTATTTATTCATAAGAAGAATACAGCCAAAAGAATTCTTTATACATTCAGAAATGTTCTTTATGAATATATTTTTCTTGACTGTATTTTTGAATGGATTAATTATATTCAGTGTGCACATCATCTCAAGGCGGTAGTCTTATTTACACGTCCCTGTGAATATATCCGTGTCCCCCAGTCTTCCCTGCTCTTCCTCTGCGAGTCCCCGTTCTCTGCACTCGGGCCGTTCTCTGTTGTTCGCCTCTGGGAGTTAAGGGCAGAGACCAATCGAACAGTCCTTAAAACACTTCTATGGAGACAAAGGGAAAACCAGTAAATTAAAACTATCCAGTAGTGTTTTATTTTATTATTTTATCAGTGAATGTGGTGACTTGGCAATGGAGCGCTCAGCAAACTTGATTTTGTATGAACTGACCCAGTGGCAAGCTATGTGGAAAAGGTACATAGCCCTGCCCAGAGGAGGCGATGGAGACGGCCATTTCCAGCCTGAGGGGACGGGGCACGTTACACTTGGAACGAGTCTGACAGAGAAATAATACACAAAGACCCGGAAGCTGGAGCCGCCCAGGCCGGAAGTGCCGGAGGCGCAGGCCGCCCAGGCCGGAAGTGCCGGAGGCGCAGGCCGCCCAGGCCGGAAGTGCCGGAGGCGCAGGCCGCCCAGGCCGGAAGTGCCGGAGGCGCAGGCTGCAGAGCGCAGCAGCCGCAGTGAGGAGAGTCAGGCGCCGGGAGAAGGCAGGTGAGGAAGGATGCGCCAGGTCTGGAAGGATCCTGTAACCGGGCTAAGCAGTTCGAGCTTTATTCTCTAAGAACTGGGGCCCAGTGGCAGGTCTAAATAGGCGAGGGAAGCTCCTTCACGTGGGAGCACGCAGGGTGAACTGAAGTGGGAAAAGGCAGAAACCCGGGCGCCCGCTGGGGCCGCTGGAGAGGCCCAGGTGAGAGGGGAGAGGCCGAACAGGGCAGGGAGAAGTGACCGTGATGGGACGGAGAGGACCATGGCTAACTCCCTGTACCACCTCTGGGTGGGCCGAACTTGGGGGTGGCGCAGGGAGGGGAGCAGGGTCAAAGGGAAAGGAAAAGTATCAGCCTTCTGGATTGTTCCACATACTACCCAGAGCACCTGGAGAGCACACACCCCCTTTACCCAGCCTGGATTCCTAGAGTGCCAGGTTTCCTTCCAGGCACGCACGGTAGCAGGCATGGCAAAAGCACCTGGATATTTATCCTGAGACCTCTCGGAGCCAACAGCAGAACCCTGGGACAGCAGCTCCCAGGAGGGGGCTCCCTCTCTTCTGGACATATGGGCTTATCACCTGTTCATCCCCTTCACAAAACCGTCTTTGTCTACAGCACAAACCATCCCAAATTCCTGCACCAGGCAGTCCCAGAGTGCCATCAAACCACACAGGCCTCTGCCCCTGGTCATAATTCACCTCCTTGGCCTTTGTTCATCCTCGTTTAATGCCAGAGTGGTAAAATGGGGACCTGGTGCCAGGACAACGGAAAGGGCATGTGCCCAGGGCAGCCTTGCCGGGATTTCCACCATGTCCTCAGCCACCAGCAGGGTGTAAACCACTGCCACGGGCATGCATGGGCCACCTCCTCTCATTCCCCCCATGTGTCCTTCAAGGCCCCCCTTCTCCTCCTCAAGTCCTGCTGGACCAGCACATCTTTGCTTGTTCAGCTCCTACATCTCCTGGCGAAACAATGCATTTCTCCTCCTGAACCCAAGATTTATGTCGCCTCTGACATAAATCACTCCACCCAACCCTCCCTCACTTTGACAAGTGGATTCTAAACTGTGTGTCTGTCTGTCTCAAAAGGATGTCAGGTGTGATTATTTCTCCTAGCCATCCTTTTTGTTGCATTTCCCCCTCATATTGCTCTGCACTAAAATATAATGCCAATAAAATAATAATGATAGCTGCTAATGTAGTTTTCCCCATATTCTGCTGTATAATCAACTCTCAAACCTCTTCCAGCCTATCTGCTGCATTCAGAAGCTTTATTCCACCGCTGCAGATATGGGGACTTGGCTGGCTTCTCAGTCCCTTTGTCTGATATAGTTGACAGCCCCTGCCATTTTTCACAGTAGTTAAGTGCTGTGTTTCCCATTTTGTATATAGGCTGCTTTCCAAATGAAAAAGCAAGGTCCCCTTTTTTCCCACTGCATTTCAGGGCTTTCTTGGATGTCAAAAGTGATGTCTTTAAAAATACCCGTTCCTTGGGCAAGAACAGATACAACCTGCTTTGGGAAAACTCTGTGACTAACTGGCTCCTCTAGATAGAATTCTCCCCTATCCTTCAATCGGCTGAAGGACACAGAGAAGCTTCTCACACACCCTGTCTCTAATGTCCTTCCAGTGGGACGACCCCAGGATCCCCCAGGTGGGAGTGCAGGTAGCGGACATGCATTCAACAGAGCCAGTTGTAAACAGGCATCTAGACCAAGGGGCTGCTGTAGCACCTTGTGGACATGCCTGCCATGTTTTCCTGAAGGGGTCTGAGATCTGTCTCCAGGGGCGTCGACTCCCAATTGAGAAGCAAGATGGGCTTCCATGTCCTGGCAGGAATTTGGGACACAACCTTCCTCCCCAGCCATGTTCAGAACTGAATGGGATCCAACCCACACCCCCTTCTGGCCCAGCTCCCCTGTAACTGTCCCAGAGGACCCCACATGGGTGGGGGCCCATGTGACCGGAGGCCATCCTTGTACTGTCAGCCACCAATCACCAGCACTGTCCACTGACAAGTTCACAGTGCTCCTCCTTGTATGTGTGTCTTTCTACATTTTACCATCAGTTAAAAATAATCCACATTCCCCATAAGAACTGTCCATGGAGCTCCTGGCAAAATGCACAGAACTTGTGTTTAAATAACTATTTCCCTCAAGGTTTGCAAGTTCCCATGTCCTTGTCTGCTTTTGACTTTTGGCTGAGCTTCCCGGAACTGACTTCGAATCGTGCAGATGTAGCCGTCACCTGCCCCAGAGCAGCACTGAATATTAACTGTCTGCAAAGAGAAACCCACATCTCTCCCCAGGGAATCACCAAATAGCCCTAAAGTACAGAGTACCCAGTGTCACTAAAAGGAAAATATCTCATTCACTTGACAAAAGATAAAATCCAAAGGGACAGAGCCACAGAAAATATTCGCTCTTGAAGTTTTGCTTAAAATCCACTAATTTTCTCCCCTTGAGCTTCATATATGAATTTGTTTTCTATTCTCCTTTAAATTTCTTCTTCACTGTTGTCAATATTTATTTCCCTGCACCTGGCAGCTTCAGTGCTGAGCTCTAGTTTCCCAGAGAAACATGGACACATACATATTACCTTAGTGGTGGTGTCCCATAAATTCCTAATATTCATCAAGAAAACAGGGAATCAAATTAACACCCCAAATCATCTAAGAAATGTGCTGTGGCAGAAACAGTTTTGTGTTCACCAAACTCCATTTCCTTTTCCTCCTGGACACCAGCCGGGCTGTGTTTCTCAGCCTTCTGTGCTTTTAGGTGGAACCTGTGACAAAGTATTGGCCATGGCAATGTGGACAGGGTTGCAGGACACCACGTCAGGGTCTGGCTCCTAGAAAACGTCCTTCATGGTATGTCTTTCCTGCTGGCTGAACACAAAGAGGACAAGATCTAGAAAATCAAAGACACACACACATCCTAGAAGACACCTGGGTCCCTAAATGACAGCATGGAGCAGACAAAACCCTGCCCACACTGCCCTGTGACCACTACTAAAGCACATTGAACTGTGACATGAGCAAGACATGCAATTTTACTGTATTAAGCCACTGAGATTTGGGAAGCTTTGTGGAATCCATTAGTCTACCTCAAACTCTACACAGGTAAAATAATTTTAAAATTTCCACCACAAAGTTCACACGCAACAACCTGCCTCACTAACCTGTCTTCTGCCATGCCAACTGTACCATGTTCCTGGAGCATCTGTCCACAAGGGCAAAGGTACCATCCAGTTGTGACATTTCAGTTTCCATTCCATGGCCATCTTACATTTTTCAATTTCCCAGTATCAAATAATTACCATATTTTTTATCTCATCTCCAGGTATTTTGGTAGCCACACTAATATATATATATATATGAAAATTCACTATCACAAGCACAGGACTTTTTGGTGCAAAATCTTGATTTTTGCATGGATGGGCACATGCCATGCGTACACCCCCGATGCACCTCACTTCCAAGGGTTCCTTGTGGGGGGGGGCGCTTTGCTGGGACATTTTCTCCACTCTGACTCGATACTCTTTCTCTCCAAGCCCTGCAGGTGCATAAAGGCAGCAGCCTTTTGTTACGAGCTCCTCGGCAATGGGACAATTCCCCTGTCTGCCCTGCAGGCCATCCAATCCTCACCCAGGACCCGGCTGCTGGGAAAATGGAACCCTGAGGAGCAGCCCCCCCCCTTGGCTTCTCCTTGCTTTGCCACAGTGAGTGAAGAAAGGCTGGACCACTGCTTTCCCTGTTGCTCTGTGTCCCAGCTGACCACCGCGACAGCTGGCAGCTCGGCAGTTCTTCGCTGCGGAGTTTGTCCCAACAGCTCCTACTTAAGCAAGCCCAGAAACTCAAACTCAGTGCCCAGCTCTGCCTTTTTCGTGTGTGTGTGTGTGTGTGTGTGTATGTGTGTGTGTGTGTGTTCCTTTCCCCTCCAATTCCCTCTCTCCTTGGTGGCCTGGCTGGACCACCAAGTTCCTCCTGAATTTATCAACTGAGCTCCTAGGAGTTTCTGTTCCCAAATGTGGATGCCCTTCCAATCACCTGATATCGCGGACATCCGCCTGATCAACAGCCACCTCCAGCATGTCTAGAAAATAGGTTATGGACAGAAAGGAAGGGAGAGGTTGAAAGGCAGATTCCAGGGCTCTGGCTTGTGTACGGAAAGAGAACTCGATGAGGGTTCCCTTTGGGACCAGCTGTGTTTGGGGTGTTGTCATCCAGGTGGCGATGCCATTATGGACTTAGGACTCGGGTCGCTGGGCACTTTCCTGTGCAGGTGGAGGCTGAAGCCTGGGGTGTGGGCCCTCCACCGAGCACGCCATCCCAGGGACTTCTGCACCTGGGAGCACTTTGAGCAAATGAGCCTCAGGGATCACATAATTCCAAAAATTCATAATGAGAGTTGCTAACAAAGCGTTTTGCCACCCAGAAAAGCATGTGCCCTTTCAGTTGGGAAATAAAGCAGGAAATTAGAGCCCTGCATCCAGGGCGCCACCACCTCTGCCAGGTCAGAGTGGCCTCACACCGGCATTTTTCCCCACCACAGTGATGTACTCTGGACGTCCCTTGTCACAGTCAGCACTGAGCCTTGACCAAGTCAGCTGAATGGAGCCCCCACACAAAGTGCAATATGGGAGGAAGCAAGGAGGTCACAAGAGACGCCGCTGGAGGTCCACGGGGCCCTGTGCCCTCCCCTCGCTGTGCTGTGGTAAGAAGGAAGCCCTGAGCCATAGTGCCACAGCTCAGAGAGGAGCAGGGCTCAGAGCTGGCTCACAGACGGACTGCGCTGAATCGGGAAGAGAGTCTCCTGCTGGTGACAGCAGCCTGGGACCAATGCAGCCCCCTCCCACCCCTGGGCCTCCCCAGGCTTTGGCAGGGCCTGTGGCAGTGGCTGCCCAGGCCAGCCTAGTCCTGTGGTCACTCCTGAACATTCAGCAGGGAAGGCTGGGGCCCCGTGCCAGGTCCCTGAGACCTGCCCGACCCCCTCAGCCCTCTGCTTTCTGATGCCCCTCAAAACTGGGAGACCCCTGCAAGATATTATGGAAAGATCCCTGAGTTAAAGAGACCTGGAAGCTGATGCCACATCCACTTCTGTCTTGCTGTGTGACTGCAGGGAAATCACTGCCCTTCTCTGGGACTTAGATGCCTTGTAAGGTGCAGTTAGAACAGTAAGAGGCTCATGGCAAATGCTCCATGAATATTACCCATTATTGTAATGTTAAATGGGACATTTGGACTAACTCATGTCCAAGCCTTTTCCTGTCTTACAGCTGAACAAGCAAAACTTCTGTTTTAACAAAGCTGATATAATAACCATCGTGGACATTGTTTATTAAGCATGTTTGGGCCAGACGCTACGGTCACATCATTTCATTTACTTCTCATAAAAAGCCTTGCGAGGTAGATCATATTAGCTCCTACATGGAAGACAACACAGTTGGGGCCCAGAGAGGTGAAGTAACTTGCCCAAGGTCACACAGTTAATAAACAACAGGACTTTACTTGAAGCCCAAAGCTTTTCAGTGGTACCACTGACGCTACCTCCGTGAAAAGATAGAAGCCCTGTACGTAAGGTGACCACACAACTTATAGTCCACACCAAAACACTTCATAGGGCGACCAACTGTCCTGGTTTGCCCAGAACTGAGGGATTTCTCAGGACAAGGGACTTTCAGTGACAAAACCGGCACAGCCCTGGGCAGACAGGGACGGCTGGTCACTGTACTTCTGAGGGAAATAGAACACTGTCATTATTCAGTTTGAGACACCTTCTGATTCCCCTGGTGGTTTCTCCTTTGACCAATAGATTATTTAAGATTGTGTTGTTTAATTTCCAAAGATTTGGGGATTTTCTAGATACCTTGTTTTTGTTTCCAGTGTAATTTCATTTTGGTTGGGGAACATACTTTATGCGATTTTAACCTTTTGAAATTTGCTGAGATCTGTTTTGTGCTCCAGAACATGGTCTATCTTGGTGAACGTTCCGTTTGCATGAGGGAAGAATGTGTTCTGCTGTTGCTGGGAGCAGAGGTCTATAAATGTCAGCCAGGCTGAGCGAATTGACAGTGTCGTTCAGACCTCCCATATCCTTTGTCTACCAAAGATCCTTCGCCCTGCCAATTACTGAGCGCAAAGTAGTAAGGTTTCCTACTGTGAGAGTAGATTTTTCTGCTTCTCCCTTTAGTGCTGTTAATTTTTGCTTCTTATATTTTGAAGCTCTGCTGCTAGGTGCATGCACATTTAGGAATGTTATGTCCTCTGATGAATTGGCCTTTTTGTCATTATGAAAGGTCCCTCTTTATCTCTGGCAATAGTCTTTATCTTGAAGTCTGGATTAAATAATTCATAAGCTTCTTTCCAACTCTAAAAGAGGAAAGGAAAAGAAAGTATGTATGTCCCTGCAACTGCCCTGACTCATTTAAAGTAAAAAATATTCATGGGTTTGTTTTTTTTTTTTTCCCCCACTCCCTCTCTCGGAGCATGACAGATCTCAATGTTAAGAGCATCCTTTTATACAAAAACAAATGGTCTGTTTGGTTAAAACCTCCCCAGATGTGATTCCAACTCAGCTGCAGGAGAAGCAGCTGTTTCTGTCAGCTGAGTTAACGAGGCACTTTGTCTTGGGAAGAAGCAGCAATTTATCAGCTCTCTCAGCCCCAAGTCGCCAGGCTCCCGGATTGACTGCACTGGCCAGGCAGATGCTAATGCTGCCCTTTGGAGACCTCCAGAACACAGGTGACCTTCTCCGGTAACAGCCTCCTCCTCTGTGGCTTGTCTGTCATTGTGTCCACACAGGATATGCTTGGAGAAGGTGGGGCCTTGGGATTCTTGAGCCTGTGGAATCAAGTCATTGATTTATTGAGGTGGACTAGGATGCCAGAACTTACCGAGGGGTCATGCGGGTGTGAGGAGCCAAAGGCATGTGTGTGGGTTACATTATTAACACATGGTTTAGAAGACAGGGAGCACGTGCTCCCCAAGACCACAGCAGGGGTGCTGGTTGCTTCCACCTCCTTTCATCATTGAACCCCCACGTTCAGTGTGGTGAGAAGCATCTAGTAGATGTTTAATACGTATTTTGGATGATTCAATGAATAGGCGAACAAAATTGAAGTCAGATGTACTCTCAGAGGAAGGAAGGGGTTAAATTGGGGGCCAAGCACCCTGCTCCCTCAGGGCCTCTGCTAGTCGGTTTCCGTTGCAGACAACAGTAACCACTCTAGCTAGTGTAAGTACAAGTGAACTCAAGTCAGGGGATGGCGCACTTACAGAAGCTTTGGAAGGGATGGAGGAGCAAATCATCTCTAGGCTGAGAAGAGATTTCCCCCAAGTCACAGAACGTGAGGGCCCCTGAGGGCCGGGACTTGCCACTTCCGCTGTAATCAGGAAGCCGAGGGTGTGTGGGGGCGCAGCCACTGGCTGGAGGGCTGCTCCTGGTGGCCAGGGTCAGGGAGCCGAGCCGGAGCTGTGGGCTCCAGGCCACACCATGCCTGCTGGATTCCACCACTGAAATAGATGCTGCGACTGTCCCCACTGACATCGGGTCTGAATTCGAGTTCTGAGGAAGTGACTCTGATGGTAAATTAGAGCCACACCGGCAGGCGGCTAGGGCCGTGCAGAGCTCAGCCTTTCCACCTCCACAGAGAGGAAGCCATCCTGGAAGGAGGAGGGAACAGAGGCTGAGCGAGCCACCCTACCGTCTGCACTGCAGGCACCAAGCGGGCAACATCAGTGAGGTTGGTGTTAGATAACGGAGGTAGTACCCGGGGAGGGAGGTTTGGGATCAAAATGCTTCCAGAACATTCTGCTGGCCAGATGAGACGCATCTCAGCCACATCTGCCTCGCTATTGGGAGTGTGAGGCTCTGGAATAAACAAAGACTAGAGGGGCCTGAGCAGAGCCTTGGGTGGGTGCCCAAGTGGGGAGGAGAGAAAAAGACAGGCCAGTAAAGGACACAGGAGAGGCAAGAGTGAGGGCGGAGGGAGAGAAATCGGGAAGGTGGAAGAAGCCACCAGTCATCAGAGAGGAGGACGCCCCTGTAAGACACAGAGGGCAGCAGGGAGAACCAGGCAGTAAACAGTGGCAGCCACTGGCAGGACCGCATAAAGCTGAAAATGCACACTGAGTCCCCTTCTGAGAGAGACTTGCACCCGTGCTCAGAGAGGCGGGTGCAGACACAGCCTTGCAGGGGTGGGAGGAATTACCACCTGAGTGCCCAGAACTCAACACAAAGTGGATGTCCACAGCACGGAATGCTTCACAGAAGCTTAAAGGAAGTCTGTGTATGACTCTACATTATGTATATCAACATTGATTTCAAAAGCACAATGTTGGGTGGGAAAAGTGAGATGTGTGTGCTCATGGCAGCCTGGAAGCACCCGTGGCTCGTGGTTAACTCAGGAGCGTGGGGCAGTGAAATGGGACTGGCCAGCACAGTCCAACAGGACTCTACCCCCATTGCTAATGTTTTTTGTTGTTGTTCAAGTGTGGAAGAAAATAGGATAAGATGTTACCTGTTGTTAATTTAAGTGGTGAAAATACAAGTGTTGGTGATATCCTTTTTGTACTTGCTATGGTTTGGATGTTTGTCCCCCAAAGTCATGTTGAAATTTGGTCCCTAGTGTTGGAGGTGGGGTCTGGTGGGAGGTGTTTGGGTCATGGGGGGTGGATCACTTATGAATCGGTTAATGTCCTCCCTCAGGGGGAGGGAATTCTCACCGTTAGTTTCCGTGAGAGCCGGCTGTTACAAAGAGCCTGGCCCCTCCCTCTTCTCTCTTCTGCTTCCTGCCTGGCCATGTGATCTCTGCACACGCCGGCTCCCCTTCCTCTTGCCCCTCGAGAGTGGGCACAGCCTGAGGCCCGCACCAGAAGCAGATCCAGGACCGTGCGTCTGGTACAGCCTGCAGTACCGTACATTTCCCAGCCTCGGGGATTCTGTTATAGCAACAGTACATGGACTAAGACAGTACTTTTCTGTGCAATTTAATTTCTCACAAGATAGATTTTTGTTTTTTAAAGAAAAAAATGGTGAGCGATTCTGAAGTGGTTTTGCACATTTAATGCAACTCGGTGAACGTTTGTTTCTTGCTGACACATGTGGATGTTATGACTGCTGTCAGGCAGGCCCCGGCAAATCTGCCTCTCTGAGTTTTAGGCAAGTAGATGAGGCTCCAGGCAGCTGACCTGGGCACACAGGCAACGCCAAGCCACCCCGGCGCTGCGGCTGCGCTGGAGGAGGGCAGGCGGGCAGGCTTGGCAAACTGGTGGGCAGGTGGCCAGGCACCCCTCTGGGGCCCCGCTGCCCCCACTTTCAGGGCCCCTTCTAGCCCCTCCCCTGAGCATCCCCCCACCACCACCCTAAGGAGTCAGAAGGGAGTGAGAAAAGGATCCCAGAGGGAAAGGCAGTTGTCGTCTCCCAGAACAGGTGAACCAAAGCAAGGAAGCAGAGAGTCCTCACCCAGACAAGCCTCGGCTCTCTGGAGTGTGCCTCGCCTTGCCAGTGGTGGCTTGTCTCAGGCGATCTTCTCCACCTTAATCAACTCTGCTCTCCTGGGCGGAGATTGGGAGAGAACCCTGTTGGCTGAGTGCCATGTATGCCGGGCTCTGAGGCAGGCACTTATACAACAGACTCACTCTCTCCCATCTCCCAGCGAGCCTGTGGATGACTTAGGATTCTTTGGTTGCAAGCAAGAGAAACTAACCGCAGAGAATGTAAGCAAAGAAGCTTACATTACAAACTCTTAGAAGGGTTCTGGTTAGCTCATGGACGTGATGAGAAGGCTGGAGACATGGGATTAGATGAGGACTTGGAAGCTGGCAGACCCCTAGGTCTAGGCACCAGCACCACCCAGGAGTCCAGTCAGGCCTGCCTGTCAGGACAAGGAGCACTGGCCTGTCTGAGGATATCTCTAGAATCACTCTTATATGACCACCCTGGCCAGGAGCGGGCAGGACACTATGGTTTATATCCCTCTGGGGTTGGACACAGTGGAGAGGTAATTCCCCAAAAGGAAGTCAAGAAACTGTCACTTAAAGAGGGAGAAGAGGCATTGAGCAGCCAATAAACAGCAGATGTCCACCAAACTTTTAGAGCGGTTCTAATCACACCCATTTTACAGATAAGGAGACTGAGTCCAGAGAGGTGAAATCATTTTCTCAGGGCTACACACTTTTGTGCAGAACTGGGATTCCAGCTCCATCCCCTGCTCATTCCCATTCACCATTCCCAAATCTCCAAAGACCATGAGAGGGGGAACAGAACAAACAGCACCCCGGAGTCATGGCCCTGCCTGGATTTTCTCTCTGTGCACGGGTCATGTGAAAGCTGCAGCTTCTCAAAATGTCCGTGTTTTCTCACCCCAGATGGAAATTAAGGCCGTGACCACGCTCAGGACTTGTTGCTGTGCTGCTGGAATAATTGCCTTATTAGAGCAGGCCCAGAGATGTAATTTCTCAAACCATCTGGCTGGAGTACGTGCCTGGAAAGGAGAAATTAAGATACCCTTGGAGGGACTAATCAAATAATATACGGCAGATGCACTCCTGCGAGTGCCGGTTCATGGAGAAGTAGCCCTGGAAACTGTTAAGCACCCTGAGCCCAGGAGAGCCAGGCCGTGTGTCCTCCCTTCTCAGAGAGAGCCGGCTCCCCCTCCGCCCTGCTGCCCTGGTGGCGAGGGGGGAGGAGATGGGGACAGGAACCTGGGTTCCGAATGGGAAGTGTTTGCGTAAAGGGCGTGAGCCTGCTTGCTTCTCCCCTGAAGAACCCAGGTGATCGTACTTGGGATGAAACAGTTCAGATACAGTCCCCTGGGAATCTTGTCACCATGATAATAACCCATATTTAGGTTGCTCTTTTCTCCAGGAGAGGCAGGGAACAGGCAGGAAGTGAGGGAAGGCGACACTTGTAGAAATATCTTTGATCCAAAAATTGTTTTCTGAGCACCTGACTCAGTCCCCTTCCAGCTCCTTTCTCCTCCCCAAGCCCATGCCCCGCCCGCCCCGCCCACAACGCTGGGGCAGCCGAGACTAGATCCTGCTGGGCTGTGGGCCACACTGGGCCTGTTTTGTTTGGTTTGCTAGTGTTTTAAATTCTTTAATCGGCTGCTAGAAGAATAAAGTCATCTATCTGGTTCATCTCTGTGTCTACAACACAGCACAGAGTGGGCGCTCAATAGCTGTCTTAGTCTGCTCAGCCTGCTATTGCTAAACACCGTCAACTGGGCCCGTTATAGACGGCAGAAGCTCATTTCGCACAGCTCTGGGGACCAGCAAGTCCAAGATCAAGTTGCCAGCAGGTGCAGCGTCTGGTGAGGGCTGCTCTCTGGGTTATAGATGGCGCTTCTCTCTGCGTCCCCACATGGTGGAAGGACGGCTGGGGGGGGCTCTCTCACTGGGGTACTGATCCCGTTCATGAGGGGCAATATACTTTGGATGTTTGACCCCTTCAAATCTCATGATGAAATTTGACCCCCGTGTTGGAGGTGGGGCCTGGTGGGAGGTGTTTGGGTCACGGGGCTGGATCCCTCCTGAATGGCTTGGCGCCCTCCCCTGGGTAATGGGCGCGTTCTCGCTTTATTAGTTCACGTGAGAGCTGGTTGTTTAAAGGAGCGAGGGCACCCCCCACCCCGCCTCGCTCTGGGTCTCCATGTGACACTGCCGCTCCCCCTTCACCTTCAGCCTTCATTAGAAGGTCCCTGAGGTCCTCACCAGAAGCAGATGCAGAGCCGTGAGCTAAATAAATCTCTTTTCTTTATAAATTACCCAACCTCAGGCATTTCTTTACAGCAGCGCAAAACAGGCTAACACAATCGGCCCACGCTTAGGACCTACTCACTGCCCAGGGCCCTACCCCCCAACACCGTCACCTCGGGAGTCTTTCAACATATGAATATGGGGGGATGCAAACATTTATACCATAGCAATAGGTAGTTGTTGAATTCACTCCTCAGCTTATGTACTTATTAAAGGAAACTTACACTATTGTTTTAAGTTTACATAAGCAATTCATGCTCATAAAAAATCAGACAACATATCAACTTATAAAGAAGGAAATAATTCTTACTCCTCTCTCTCCCACCCTCATTGTCACCCCACATACATCAAAGCACATGCTAAAATATTTACA